CGGACACTTTAGCATATCCTCTTCATTCTATATCAATACCTGTAACCCAGCCAATGAATCACTATGTCCCATAGGTGGGGCACAGAAAAGTATTGTCAAATAGTGTTTACAAGTGAAAAGTGATATTTTATCCTTACCTGTTATAAAAATAGAATAAAAGGCAACTTTATTTTCTTAAAAAACTAAATATAAATAAAAATAAACGTAAATCCCGATATAAAAACTTCTTCACAATAAACATATTCCAAATTCTAAATACTTAGCATTAATCTCCTAATGCAGGATTATTAGCAAATAAAATAATACGACAGATAACACCGATATTGCTGCTATTATAAAAACCAATATCTAATCATTTCTGTTAATTGGATGGATCATATGAATTTATATTTATCTTTGAAACTAATTATGGGTGTTATAAAATTGATTCTTTGTTCTCATATTTATTCAGAAAATTTAGTTTGTAGAATTGTACGTTGATTTGCACATCAAAATATGAATGTACTCATCAAATATGCTGTGATTACAGTTCTGTTGTCAATTCCAGTTACAGTTTATTTGGTTTCTTATTTAGCAAACAGTAAATCCAATTCTGGTGTGAAAATTAAGGCAACAGTTTCGCCACACATTCATTCTACTCGAGTAACCAAGTCTACTGATTTCAAAGAATTTACTGCAACTTCTTCCAGTATTACTACTGTTTCTTTTGAACATACCCAGTCGAATCAAGAAAAGGCCTTTTCAGCCAATTATTTTACTGGACAATTTCAGTCAACTGAACATGATTCTGAGCAAGTTAAACCAAACAAATATGAAAATATTGAGTCTAAGGAACAGCCAAATAATTTAAGTGAAGTAAGTAAAGCTTAATTAAAGACAATGGACTTAAACTCTGATTCGCCTAAATAAAGGGCATTTTTACCAATAATAATATATTAAAATAATTGAAGATACGAACAAATTTTACTAAGAAAATTTTGTATGAAAGTCAAAATCCCTCTCTGTACGAGTATTGTACCTAATACTAATACTGTCAAAGTTCTATGCTCTCCATTTTCCCTAGATATTTAACCAATCAAAACAATGAAACCAGTTACGAAATTCCTTATTTTTTTTTTTTGGAGTGAGGGGAGCCATATGTGAGTAGTAGGGATTAAGTGTAAGGGTTAAAGAAAAGGTCCTTTATTTCTCACAAGTCAATTTAATTGGCGACCGGTTTCGAAGCTGTCACTTCATCATCAGGCACACCTCAGGTTTCAAGAAAGTGGGTTATTTTGTCGTGTATTGTGTTTTAATTATTTTGTGCTAATTTAGAATGGAAAATAAGGACCAAAACAATATTATGATATACTAGGTTGTAAGTTTAGCCAAATTCTATTGTTATATGTTAACCTGCCTTTTTTTGATATAAACTTTCCATAATAATGTATATTATTGATTTTAAAACCAAAAAAGGTTTATTTTTATTTCTTTTCTTTTCGCAAATGGTGACATAATGAAATTTTCGAAACCAGTTTCATACTGTTCAACATTAAGCACCCAAAATCTGTTTTTAGCATCTTTTGGGTATTTATTATAATTCAATCAGAATATAAGAGTATATCTTAACTAAAGAGAAGTATAGAATTTTAATTGTGTTTAGATTAGTGAAATCATGAGTTGTCCTCTACACAAAGCCCAGCATTTTAAATGATTTTTGAAGTGTAGCAGAGATATGGCCATTAAAGATCATGAAAAAGTCAAAGGTGATCCCTACAATCTTTATTTGATCGACAGGGTCCAAAACATGACGAAATAAACTATAATTATACTTTATTAAATGATCCCCTGCGACAAAATCGGATAATGTGACATTTGTTAGTATTTAAATTCATGCCATTACTAGAGCACCAACTTGATAGTTTATTTAAATCCGATTGCATAATCTGAGTATCATCATAATCATTAATGATCTTGAAGCACTTTAACTTTTCTGCCAGCAATAGAGTTTTATTGTCAGAAAAGCAAGTTGTGATATCATTTATAAATTTGTTGGATAGTAGCGGTGCTAAGTGAGACCCTTAAGGAACACCAGATATTACTGTGAAAATTTGCGAACAATGATGATTTACTCGTACCTGTTGAGTCATATTCATTAGATAACTACTGAGTCACTGAAGGACCATCCCATCTATACCAGGTTCACCTTGCCAAAGGCCTTGGAAAAGTCGAAATACACAGAATCTACCTGTAGACCCTTTTCCAAAGCTTCAGACAGAAAGTTGGCATGCGTTAATAAGCTCAGTTCAGCAGATTTGCTTGGCGAAAAACCAAATTGTTGGGAATTTAAGATATTGGAGCAGTCGTATGTTAGAAAATCAGTTATTATACTTTTAAAGATTTTTCAATTTTTGTGCGTAGGATGGATGAAGCAATAATTTTTTTGTATCAGATTTGTTGCCCGATTTGTAAATGGGAGTAACGTAATAGTTTCCAAAAGCCAAAAAATTCACCTGTGCTCAGTTGTTTGTTAAATATATGAAAAAGTAGTCTAGATTCTAGATAATACAAAATTATTTTTTTTTTTTTTGACGAAAATGGGTGAAATTTCATCGGGACGGGGCCCTTTATTAATGTCAAGTGTTTCTTAAATCTTGGAAATTTGGATAAAATAAGAAGATGCGCATATTACAGATTGGTTTTCACTATCATTTAAATTTAGGGTTTGGTTCGTGTATAAAGAAGAAAAATAACTAGCAAATAGATTATTAATGTCATTATCGCAAAAAACTATAGTATCTTTTAATGTCAAGTAAAGAAGTATTTTCTCCTTTTTTACAAATTTCCAGAATGCTTTAACATTGTTTATAACTGAAGTCTCAGTACAGCTTACGTAACTAGCATAACACTCTTTTAGTTTTTTTTTTACTGGAACAAATTATTCTATCACTAAAAACATGACATCATAGATTATGAATACCATCGGAAAGTTCTTTACCATGAAGAAGGTCATTCTACTCAATTGCTTTCAGACACTGGTGTATAGCTGGGAAATCTGCATTACGGAAATCATAGTATTCCGTTGCGGAGGGTGTGAGCTGCAAAGTAGTTACAAGTGTGTAAGAGCCTCGTAGAATTACAATGTCAACACCTTTGAAAACTTTGAGTTCATCATGTGAAAGGACTAGGTCAAGAATAATTCCCTTACTGTTGACCACCCTGTTTGATTGGAAGTTACAAATATTTGAGACAAATTCATTATTTTCAACTTCCGCCAATGATGTGTTGTGCTGTCCAGTTGCTGAGGAACAATAATCTTGCACTTCCCAAACTGCAGACAGAAGATTATAATCACCAAATAGATGAAACTTCGAGTTTGGATATTATTCGTTTAAGTGTGTAATCTAATCAAAGTGGGTCTGATAGTAAGTAATAGGTGACTTCGGAGGGATATATAGTGCACCCAGGATACATTTATTATTCATGTGGACAAACACCTATTTTCCTCGTAACTATTAGTACATTTTGGAAGTAAAGAGAGATCTTGAGCTTGCCCAAGTCAGTATTCTGTAATGGTTTTTTTGGACAATCTTGGGTACATTATTACCATATTTAATTGTTAAATCCTGATTACCTGAATTTTGTCGAACAGAAAGTTTAGTTCTTACAGATTCTAGGAGTTGTCTCGTATAATTAAGAGTTTGATCCAAATGAATAAACAGTTTTTTTATTTCAAGTAATGTTTTGTTTATTTTTGAGTATTAAATAAACATCTCTAGTTGAAGATAAAATTATTTGGAGAGGACAATGTCCATTTTTATTCTTGCCAAAACAAAAGACTTTTGTATCATTAATATTAATAGGGTTATAGGCGTTTTTAAGGATATATTTTACTTATTAGACATCATCTTGGGTATTGAGTAGTTTAGGGAGATTGAAAATAAGCAAGTTTTTTCTCTTCTGTGACGCTCATTTTATTCATTTACGACTTCATCCATCGTGAAAGCCGTCGTACTCTTATTTTTCTTAAGTCTTAAGATATCTTGTTTCAAAGATGTTACTTCAGATTTGAGTCTCCATTTCTCGCAAGAGTTTAGGCACATTCATAAAGCATAAGCGGCAATACTGCAGAATAATACCAGATACCTTTTCTGTATAACAACAGCTCAAAGTTCAGAAGCACATAAAACTGTCCAATTTCTGTCATGTGCATAGCTACAAATTTTTCAGCAAGGGTTTCCTTGCAGCAAAAACAGATGTTTACCATTTTCAACAATAATAGTCTGAGACAGTCAGATTCGCAGTCAAAAATTTAAACGTTTTTTCCTGGACTATAGAAATAAATTACCTTTATTAGCACACTGTTTTTATTGAAAGTTTTTCAGGATTTATTTTTATTTCAACAGCAGATAAATTAGTAAGATTTGATTTAAATATTTAAATGGACCACGACTTGCTATGAGTTTATTCTACTTCCACCAAGAGGGTAATTGATATGTTTTCACTGGAAAAACAACCATATTTTTAGGCACAATTTAACCATTTATTTTTACAAAACATGAGAAACAAACTATAAAACAGCACCATTCAATTTTATCTTATCTACTCTGTATTTCTCTACATTTAAATTATATTAGTACTGCGAAGCAGAGGGGACTGCAAACCAACAGTTGAAAGGCATCTCCTTGTAATATTTTTTTTTTGTTTTTTGTTCTTTTTTGTTTTTTTTTTGTTTCTTTTTGTTTTTTTTTTGTTTTTTTTTTTTCAAAAAAAAATATACTTCAAGATATTATAATATACTGCCGCTAACAGTCCGTAATTAACCCTTATACTTGTACATAATTTTTTTATATCTGTGATAAAAAGCCAAGAAGAGCATTTTTGCGTTTTCATTATAAATATTAATTTTAAAAACCTTTTTTAATCAATCTTCATGTCATTATAGGCACTTTATCAAACTAATTTGTTAACCACAATCGGTGTTATTCTATACTCAGTATTATTGTATTTTTTTGTTTCAGATTTGGCCGTCTATAGCGTCCAATGAGAACTGCGAGGAAATAGAAGAACTTAAACCATTCGACGAAACGTACAATTGTACTTCAAATGGATTTTTCCCAGATGAAACTGACCACAACTGCACCAAGTATATTGTATGTGCTAGGAGTTCGTCTCGCCCCTTCATCACCCTATATCTAACATGCCCGGAAGGCACTAAATTCGACCCAGCTGTTAATGATTGCACTTCACAATACACTTGCCCTTATCGGCCAATAACAAATACGTCAGTATGCATTTACAATGCAGATCCAAATTATTTCACATGTGATACTAGTGGTACTTTTGTTAATCTTAATGATCCAACGTGTCAAAGCTACTACCATTGCTTGTTCCTTTATAGTTCTAATTTATTTTTGCAATCAAGATATGTTTGCAGTCAAAATCATTATTATAATCCTGATATAAAAAGATGTGATAAGAACTATATTTGTCCATGTTATGTTAATACTGGTACCATCCCTAGTACAAATATCAATAGTACTACTGTTGAATCAAATTCCAATCAAAGAATATCGACAATTATTCCCATAACCACAGAAGATTATATTTCAACTTCCAACTTTTTCACCACTACTGCATTTTCTACTAAAGAGAGCACAGGATTAGAATTAAGTACAAAATATATAACAAGTATAACAAAAGAACCTTCATCCTCTACTGCAGATCACCATACTTCTGTTTCAACTACAAAATATATAACGAGTATTAGCACAACAGAAGGAACTACAAATTCATCTTTTATGAAAGACACGACTCCCAATGTATATATTACTTCAACTGTAAAAGACGTAACAGATATTAGTATATTGACTACTGCCGAAAATTGTATTTACAACGATGATCCTGAATATTTTACCTGTAGCGTCAGCGGTCGTTTTAGAAATAACCATGATAGAAAATGTAAATCTTATTACTTATGCTCAGTACTTAAAAGCGGAAGAATAATCCAAACTAAATATAGTTGTCCGGAAAAATCTTACTTCAATCCTTCAAAACATATTTGTGATGTAAATTACAAGTGCCCCTGTTTAACAGTAACTAGCACTACTGCAAGTAGTACTACCACGAAAACATCTGATGAAGGAAACCAAACTGAAATATCTACAACAACAGAAATAACCTCTAGAACAGCAACTACTGAAAAAACAACTGATGAAGAAAATATTTCTTCAACCATTGATCAACAAAGTACTACATCATTTAATTCTTCATCTGCTACTGAAGAAACTACTACCGATAAATATCCCATTTCAGATTCAACAAGTAGTACTGCAATATCAACACAAAAATCTACATCAACTACAGCTGAAAATTGTATTTACAACGATAATCCTGAATATTTTACCTGTAGCGTCAGTGGTCGTTTTAGAAATAACCATGATAGAAAATGTAAATCTTATTACTTATGCTCAGTACTTAAAAGCGGAAGAATAATCCAAACTAAATATAGTTGTCCGGAAAAATCTTACTTCAATCCTTCAAAACATATTTGTGATGTAAATTACAAGTGCCCCTGTTCAACAGTAACTAGCACTACTACAAGTAGTACTACCACGAAAACATCTGATAAAGGAAACCAAACTGAAATATCTACATCAACAGAAATAACCTCTAGAACAGCTACTACTGAAAAAACAACTGATGAAGAAAATACTTCTTCAACCATTGATCAACACCCTACTACATCAATTAATTCTTCATCTGCTACTGAAGAAACTACTACCGATAAATATCCCATTTCAAATTCAACAAGTAGTACTGCAATATCAACAGAAAAATCTACATCAACTACAGCTGAAAATTGTATTTACAACGATAATCCTGAATATTTTACCTGTAGCGTCAGTGGTCGTTTTAGAAATAACCATGATAGAAAATGTCAATCTTATTACTTATGCTCAATACTTAAAAGCGGAAGAATAATTCAAACTAAATATAGTTGTCCAGAAAAATCTTACTTTAATCCTTCAAAACATATTTGTGATGTAAATTACAAATGCCCCTGTTCAACAGTAACTAGTACCACTACGAAAACATCTGATGAAGGAAACCAAACTGAAAAATCTACAACAGAAAAATCTACAACAGAAATTACCTCTAGGACAGCTACTACTGAAAAAACTTCTGATGAAGAAAATACTTCTTCAACCATTAATCAACAAAGTACTACATCAATTAATTTTTCATCTGCTACTGAAGAAACTACTACCGATAAATATCCCATTTCAGATTCAACAAGCAGTACTGCAACATCAACAGAAAAAACTACATCAACTACAGCTGAAAATTGTATTTACAACGATGATCCTGAATATTTTACCTGTAGCGTCAGCGGTCGTTTTAGAAATAACCATGATAGAAAATGTAAATCTTATTACTTATGCTCAGTATTTAAAAGCGGAAGAATAATCCAAACTAAATATAATTGTCCCGAAAACTCTTATTTCAATCCTTTAAAACATATTTGTGATGTAAATTACAAGTGCCCCTGTTCAACAGTAACTAGCACTACTACAAGTAGTACTACCACGAAAACATCTGATAAAGGAAACCAAACTGAAATATCTACATCAACAGAAATAACCTCTAGAACAGCTACTACTGAAAAAACAACTGATGAAGAAAATACTTCTTCAACCATTGATCAACACCCTACTACATCAATTAATTCTTCATCTGCTACTGAAGAAACTACTACCGATAAATATCCCATTTCAAATTCAACAAGTAGTACTGCAATATCAACAGAAAAATCTACATCAACTACAGCTGAAAATTGTATTTACAACGATAATCCTGAATATTTTACCTGTAGTGTCAGTGGTCGTTTTAGAAATAACCATGATAGAAAATGTCAATCTTATTACTTATGCTCAATACTTAAAAGCGGAAGAATAATCCAAACTAAATATGATTGTCCCGAAAACTCTTATTTCAATCCTTTAAAACATATTTGTGATGTAAATTACAAATGCCCCTGTTCAACAGTAACTATCACTACTACAAGTAGTACTACCATGAAAACATCTGATGAAGGAAACCAAACTAAAATATCTACAACAACAGAAATAACCTCTAGAACAGCAACTACTGAAGAAAATACTTCTTCAACCATTGATCAACAAAGTACTACATCATTTAATTCTTCATCTGCTACTAAAGAAACTACTACCGATAAATATCCCATTTCAAATTCAACAAGTAGTACTGCAATATCAACAGAAAAATCTACATTAACTACAGCTGAAAATTGTATTTACAACGATAATCCTAAATATTTTACCTGTAGCGTCAGTGGTCGTTTTAGAAATAACCATGATAGAAAATGTAAATCTTATTACTTATGCTCAGTACTTAAAAGCGGAAGAATAATCCAAACTAAATATAGTTGTCCGGAAAAATCTTACTTTAATCCTTCAAAACATATTTGTGATGTAAATTACAAGTGCCCCTGTTTGACAGAAACTAGCACTACTACAAGTAGTACTACCACGAAAACATCTGATGAAGGAAACCAAACTGAAATATCTACAACAACAGAAATAACCTCTAGAACAGCAACTACTGAAAAAACAACTGATGAAGAAAATACTTCTTCAACCATTGATCAACAAAGTACTACATCATTTAATTCTTCATCTGCTACTGAAGAAACTACTACCGATAAATATCCCATTTCAGATTCAACAAGTAGTACTGCAATATCAACAGAAAAATCTACATCAACTACAGCTGAAAATTGTATTTACAACGATAATCCTGAATATTTTACCTGTAGCGTCAGTGGTCGTTTTAGAAATAACCATGATAGAAAATGTAAATCTTATTACTTATGCTCAGTACTTAAAAGCGGAAGAATAATCCAAACTAAATATAGTTGTCCGGAAAAATCTTACTTTAATCCTTCAAAACATATTTGTGATGTAAATTACAAGTGCCCCTGTTTGACAGAAACTAGCACTACTGCAAGTAGTACTACCACGAAAACATCTGATGAAGGAAACCGAACTGAAATATCTACAACAGAAATAACCTCTAGAACAGCAACTACTGAAAAAACAACTGATGAAGAAAATACTTCTTCAACCATTGATCAACAAAGTACTACATCATTTAATTCTTCATCTGCTACTGAAGAAACTACTTCCGATAAATATCCCATTTCAGATTCAACAAGTAGTACTGCAATATCAACAGAAAAATCTACATCAACTACAGCTGAAAATTGTATTTACAACGATAATCCTGAATATTTTACCTGTAGCGTCAGTGGTCGTTTTAGAAATAACCATGATAGAAAATGTAAATCTTATTACTTATGCTCAGTACTTAAAAGCGGAAGAATAATCCAAACTAAATATAGTTGTCCGGAAAAATCTTACTTTAATCCTTCAAAACATATTTGTGATGTAAATTACAAGTGCCCCTGTTCAACAGTAACTAGCACTACTACAAGTAGTACTACCACGAAAACATCTGATGAAGGAAACCAAACTGAAATATCTACAACAACAGAAATAACCTCTAGAACAGCTAGTACTGAAAAAACAACTGATGAAGAAAATGTTTCTTCAACAATTGATCAACACCCTACTACATCAACTAAACCTTCATCTGCTACTGAAGAAACTACTACCGATAAATATCCCATTTCAGATTCAACAAGCAGTACTGCAACATCAACAGAAAAAACTACATCAACTACAGCTGAAAATTGTATTTACAACGATAATCCTGAATATTTTACCTGTAGCGTCAGTGGTCGTTTTAGAAATAACCATGATAGAAAATGTAAATCTTATTACTTATGCTCAGTACTTAAAAGCGGAAGAATAATCCAAACTAAATATAGTTGTCCGGAAAAATCTTACTTTAATCCTTCAAAACATATTTGTGATGTAAATTACAAGTGCCCCTGTTCAACAGTAACTAGCACTACTACAAGTAGTACTACCACGAAAACATCTGATGAAGGAAACCAAACTGAAATATCTACAACAACAGAAATAACCTCTAGAACAGCTAGTACTGAAAAAACAACTGATGAAGAAAATGTTTCTTCAACAATTGATCAACACCCTACTACATCAACTAAACCTTCATCTGCTACTGAAGAAACTACTACCGATAAATATCCCATTTCAGATTCAACAAGCAGTACTGCAACATCAACAGAAAAAACTACATCAACTACAGCTGAAAATTGTATTTACAACGATAATCCTGAATATTTTACCTGTAGCGTCAGTGGTCGTTTTAGAAATAACCATGATAGAAAATGTAAATCTTATTACTTATGCTCAGTACTTAAAAGCGGAAGAATAATCCAAACTAAATATAGTTGTCCGGAAAAATCTTACTTTAATCCTTCAAAACATATTTGTGATGTAAATTACAAGTGCCCCTGTTCAACAGTAACTAGCACTACTACAAGTAGTACTACCACGAAAACATCTGATGAAGGAAACCAAACTGAAATATCTACAACAACAGAAATAACCTCTAGAACAGCTAGTACTGAAAAAACAACTAATGAAGAAAATGTTTCTTCAACAATTGATCAACACTCTACTACATCAACTAAACCTTCATCTGCTACTGAAGAAACTACTACCGATAAATATCCCATTTCAGATTCAACAAGCAGTACTGCAACATCAACAGAAAAAACTACATCAACTACAGCTGAAAATTGTATTTACAACGATAATCCTGAATATTTTACCTGTAGCGTCAGTGGTCGTTTTAGAAATAACCATGATAGAAAATGTAAATCTTATTACTTATGCTCAGTACTTAAAAGCGGAAGAATAATCCAAACTAAATATAGTTGTCCGGAAAAATCTTACTTTAATCCTTCAAAACATATTTGTGATGTAAATTACAAGTGCCCCTGTTCAACAGTAACTAGCACTACTACAAGTAGTACTACCACGAAAACATCTGATGAAGGAAACCAAACTGAAATATCTACAACAACAGAAATAACCTCTAGAACAGCTAGTACTGAAAAAACAACTGATGAAGAAAATATTTCTTCAACAATTGATCAACACCCTACTACATCAACTAAACCTTCATCTGCTACTGAAGAAACTACTACCGATAAATATCCCATTTCAGATTCAACAAGCAGTACTGCAACATCAATAGAAAAAACTACATCAACTACAGCTGAAAATTGTATTTACAACGATAATCCTGAATATTTTACCTGTAGCGTCAGTGGTCGTTTTAGAAATAACCATGATAGAAAATGTAAATCTTATTACTTATGCTCAGTACTTAAAAGCGGAAGAATAATCCAAACTAAATATAGTTGTCCGGAAAAATCTTACTTTAATCCTTCAAAACATATTTGTGATGTAAATTACAAATGCCCCTGTTCAACAGTAACTAGCCCTACTACAAGTAGTACTACTACGAAAACATCTGATGAAGGAAACCAAACTGAAAAGTCTACAACAGAAATGAATGATGAAGAAACAACAACCAAGCGACATACAACTGAAAGCGATGGTTCCACTACGTCTTCAACTACAGAAACTCCTACAACTGCCCAAATATGTTCTTCGTATAACAGCGATCCGGATTATTTGACTTGCACTGTCAAAGGAAGATTCCAAAATCACAATGACATAAATTGTACTTCGTATTACTTATGTAGTGAACTAAAAAATGGTAGATTCATCAAAACTAAATATACCTGCCCTCCTAAATCCTACTTTAATCCTGCCAAGCAGATTTGCGATATGGATTATAAATGTGAATGTTTTATGTGATTTATATTTGTTTAGAAAACATTTTATGTAGCTTTGTTGAATCATAATAATAATGATGCATTTGTAAAATGATTTTTTTTAAATATATTTTAGTTTAGTGTTTAGTGTTTAGTTTAGTTATTAAAGATTTATTTTTCTTTTAATTGCCTTTTTATTTTTATCTCATAGACATTGATTTTAATTCAATACAAATTTAACAGTTTTGTTGACTTAACAATAATTTGAAAAAGTAAAACTTTAAACATAAATAACAACCACGATCCTAAATTGGATCTTTGAGGAATATCTCCGTATTAAATATTGAATATTGAAACTTGTGTTTCGTACGTTTGATTGACATATCTGTAATGATTATTTGAAAATAAATAATTATAATACAGTATATTTGAATTATTCAATTCACGGTTAACTTTTAAAAGAGAAAATGAATCTACTCACGTTCATGTACAATACGCAACATCATGAAAATTAAGCAAACAGACTAGAGTTAATAATGACTTAGTCGTTTTCTAAAGCAATAAATATTTGTTTAATACATATGGCCGGGCAACAAATGGTGTATTGAAATTTTCACGATTGTCATGAAATCACCATCATTTGGTTGTTGCAATGAGTATACATGGTGTTTCAAATGTTGAGTCTTTATTTTATTATATAATTATTTGTTTAGAGTTAAAGCAGATTTGACGATCCAAAATACTACAAAACATTTTTTTCTGTCTTCTAGTAAATACGAAATGCATGTATGTTCTTCCTAGATGAAGGAGCCGCCTATTATCGATACTTCTTGCATACTAAAAACATCAATTACCAATAATTCGTTTTTGGTATTGTGAATAAAAAAATAAGCAATTGCTTTTAATTAAAAATTGGTAACAAATGCAGATTATTTTTCTATCAGCAACTTTTTTAGCTAGAATTGGGACATAAGAATTATTTAATAAATCTTTTTCACCTAATAAGGCACATGAGTGTCATCAATCCAGCAGAAGAAGTGACATTGTGCAGATTCTGTGGAGAAGAGGAGGGAACATCAATTCACGTTCTGTGCCAATATGTCTGGCTAGAATAAGGTTTCTAATACCAAGAAAAGACAAAAGCATTTAAATACATGCTGTAGCCTCTCTCAAAGCTACTAAGACTAATAAAAAAGATTAAGCTCGACCATACACTCTAAATTACAGATTCCCACATTAGATCTAATAAGGTCGTGATGGATAAGGACAATTGCCCAACTCCAAACATTTAATTTATTGAAGAAAAATCCCTATTTTTAAGTAAAAACAATTACCTAATTTTAGTTTTCACCTTGAAGAAAATATCCCTGGTGAACATAATCAGCCTTACTCACAATTTTTATTCGCGCTACGCAGAAAAAAACAGTGTCAAATAAATTATTTACTTTATAAAAGTACGATTGGCAAACCCAAACACACATTAATAGCTGTACCGTACTACAGTAAAAAGTTCACTAGTATTAAGTTACACAGTTAATACCCTCTGAAACTAAAATCACTAATTGCAAGTAAATAGTTCATTAAAAATAGGTCATCTAAAAAAGCAAATTAAATTGTGCATTAACCATAGGTTACCAATTTCAGAAATATCGTTTTATCTACAACAATTAGAATAATAAACTACAAAACAGTTAAATCCTTAAATCAATCTTAAAAACGCTGAAATACCATACGTGAATTATTCAGTTGACCAATTAAAATTCGTATCGATGACAGGATCTATTAAAAACGTTCAAACAGTTATTTTTGTAATCTCGTGCCGATATATTGATAAACGTACCAGATCCTTATTTAAAAATTAAAAAAATTTAAAAATTTATGAAAAACAAATTTCTTGAATTTTTTTATGGAATTATATATCCTATTAAAAAACACTCAAGTCATGAAAAACCCTGTATGTGTACACATAAATACATGAGCAATTGTAAGTAGGTAGGTAATTTCACATTTCAATTTTAAAACCAATTATTTCCATTGTTGTTCTATACCTAATTACCTTTTGCTAAGTAGCATTTACATTAAATTCATACGAAGCGGGTTCTAGATCTATCTATAATTTGTGGTTTATATACTAATTCTGAAGCTCTAGTTCAATAACATAATATTTACCCCTTTAATTACATAAAGAATAGATAAACATAAAATTTATGATAAAGATTTTAAAACTAATACAGAAAATATTAGGCTGAAATTGATGATTCAAGAAGATACGTCCTCTGGTAGGACACAGGCCAACAAAATAAAAAAAAAATGTTGGTGCCGGAAATCCAAGAACTGATTTTAGATATATTTAATGTGCTGATTCTAAAACTGCCAGCATATTTTTTCTATCAGCTTTAGTTTTTGAGATACATAGTTCTAATAAATGGCAAAAATAAATATACCTATCTCTAAAAATCAAAATAGAAATTTCTCACTCAAAATTAGAATCTAAATAACCATATATAAACCTAGAATTGTCGGTGAACCAACCTTCCTATACCTGGATAACCGGCATTATTTAATCGTATGGGCTCTTACGAAACTGCATCCCATAAAAGGGTTTCCTACCTGATTCGAAAAAGGTCACAACGAAATTGCATCCCCACTTATCGTAGGTTAAGCAAATTTAGTTGTAAAATTGAGCCATTGTTACCACCTTTTGCGTTGTTTATTAAAAATTCTACAAACGTTCTCTTTATATTCAATATTTTTTAACCAGTAAAGTTTTAAGAATATTGATTCTTTTTAGTAACTTCTGTTATTTTATTAATTATTCTAGGTATTTTGTAAATTGACTAATGGGCAATAATTCAACAATAACTACATATTTAAATGTTTATTAAAACAGTAAAATATAATTAAAACTTAACTCTAAATGAAATTATTTATTTTATACTTGGAATTGCCTATGATCCGATATTCCTATACCTGCTTAATCTTTACTAATTAATCTTAGAAACATAGTGCCTTCTGTCTACCTTTACCATTTTCGATTTAGTATACCTAATGTTGAGTTTTTGCAAGTAAAGTTCATTTTGTGTACATTTTCGTCTTTTTGTAGTACTAAAACAGTGGCATCCACAAACAGGCGTAGCTGTGTAACCATCCATATGTGTTTTGTTATATTTAAAAGAAATTAGAAAAACTATTACTGACTTCTTGAGAAGGGTTTATATTGCCTATTTCGCTATTCATGAGAGACTAGGATAAATCTTGGTCTGCACCAAAGGGGTTATGATTGGTGGATTTCATTTTTTTGCAGCAGCAGTGTTCTCACTACCTAGAATGGATATAAAATATATTCGTTCAGTTGAACAAAATAGCATACTTTTTCGTTTTGTAGTCTGTGAATAAATAAGCTAATTTATTTATTTATTTCTTTTATTTATTTATTTATTTATTTATTTATTATTGCATAACTCAGCAGGTCAAGACCCAATTATAGAGTAAAAGTACAAAAATATATAAATACAATTAATTTAGAAATAATATATCAATTGATTAAACAGCAGGTAAGAAAAAAAGGTAAGATAATTATTTTTCTAGCATTTCATGAATATACGCGAAACTAAAGATTTCAGAGAACATTATTATATAAATAACACCTAATATTATGAATTGAACTATAAAACAAATCAAGCCGGTAACTTACTGATTCATAATTATTACACGTAGTGTATATAGGGGATTTTAAGAGAACATTTGTTCTAGGTGTATTCAAGTAAAATGTACGGGTGTTCCTGGAAGCTATTCGAGGAACTGCAAAATTAAGACTATGAATCAAATATGAAAAATCAACTTTAAAATGAACTGTCTTAAATAGCAATACCACAGAATAATAATTTATCAAGACTCCGAAACTTATGTCTAAGTAGCAGATCACGATGAGGTGTACCTATAGGATTAAAAACCCCACCTTGTTTAAAACTTAAAAGTTTTAATAATCTCCGTTGGACTACTTCAATTCTATAAATATGTAATTGATAGAATGGCCTCCACACAACTGAGGCATATTTAAGTTTAGATCTGACAAATGAACAATACAATAATTTTAGTGTCTTCGGCTCCTTAAATTAACGACTGTTACGAACGATAAATTCATACAATTTGTACGATGCTAATACCATTGATTCTATATGATTGTTCATTGATCAAGGGGATCAAATGTAATTCCAAGATCTGTGATGGTAACCGATCTTGGAAGAATCGTGTTGTTAACGCCATAGTTAAAAGTTAAAGGGAGTTGATTCTAGGTATAAGATATTACAAAACATTTAGAGAGGTTAAGAGGTAGATTGTTATTGAGACACAACTCCGCAACACGTCGCAGATTATCTGAAAGCCTTTCACAGTCATCAACCGTTTCGACAGCTTACATCATTTATAAATATGTTAAATAACAAAGGACCTAGATAAGAACCTTGCGGAACACCGGAAGTTTTCAGCTATTGAATTGACTTGAAACCGTTAATCTGAACATATTGCTTTCTGTCGGAAAAGTAGGACTTTAATAAATTTATCAGTGAATGGGAAACATCACAGCATGAAAGTTTATTTAACACGATACCATGATCTAGCCGATCGAACGCTTTGGAAAAGCCGTCTGGATTCTCTTGTCGATATTTTTTGCAATGTACTGTGTTACAGCTATAAGATTGGTAACGGTCTTTCATGAATCCATGTTGTTCTGGTGATATCATATTACTGACGTGTTTTGAAGTAAAATCTCAAACACTTTACAGAAATTAGTAATAATTTAAATTGGACGATATTGTGCAATGTCCGATTTATCACCCTTTTTAAATACTGGGCAGACCTTAGAGCATTTCCAGATAGATGGGATAGAACAAAATATGAGACAAATATTTAAGAAAACTTTTAAGGAATGAGCGAGAATTAAAGCGCAGTCTTTCAAAACAAAGGATGGAATATTATCTGGCCCCATAGTCATTTTAGATTTAATTGTTTAACTTTAGACAGGTGTAGATTGGCTTCAGATGGGTTAACATTAAATATAATGTCGGATTTTGTCTGTTTAACACTCTGATTAGTATTCTTCGGATGAATGAGAATGGCTGGAGAGGACTTATCTTTCAGAACATCAGAATAAGGATAGCTTGCGGCTATGTAAGCGTGGGAAGATG